CGAGAAACCCGCACACAATCTACTGTTATTACTTGTTTAAAACATATTTTAAAAATTGCTATATTATTAAACTTTTAAAGAAATATTGAGTTTAGGTTCTAAACCTGTCTTGGAAATTAATTATAATTCTGTTATAACATGGATGACATATTGCTGGAATATAGTAATTTAGCTAATCTATTCCCATCTCATTTTCAGCTTCTGGACGTTATCCAATCAAAAACTGGAGTAAGGATCATGTGATCGCAAATATAACTGGTATTTCGTTTCAACCCGATCGCTTGCGTATCAACACATCCGGTTTGTATTTCATTTACAGCCAGGTCTACTTTGACCGGATGTGCGACCAAGTTACGCAAGAGGCAAACAAACCATATCCAATATATCATTATGTCTACCGCTTCAATGTCATCTACCCGAATGGGGGAGAACAGCTGTTGATGAAAAGCGTGCGGACCCCGTGCTGGACCCAGCAAAAGGCCCTTCATGGAGATTATACGAGTTACACTGCAGCCGCGATTCGGATGGCGGCAGGGGACGAAATCTACGTAATGGTGTCCAACATATCCATGGTTTCGCCAGTACCGGAAGCCAGCTTCCTAGGAGTATTCAAAATCAGCTGAGAGTGTTCAGTGCAAAAAGATGTGTATAAACTATCTGTGATAACTTTCTTCCTGGTGATCAAAACCGGAAGTACACATATGCTACCGAGGTGCTTTCTTAGCATTTCCACTGACATCGGTGCTACGATCAGTTATGTGATGACTCTCAGCCGCCATGTTGGATATGCATAGAACGTTGCCACTGACTTTGCTCAATAACACCACCAAATGTGTTTACGATGAATTATGACCGGTTTGATCTAAATACCGTTTGGCCCGCGATATCGCGACGTCGTACATGTGATGCTATTGTTATCAAATACAATTTGTATTGGTGGTACTGAATTTCCACAAGTGAAATGGAACCCTTTGTATGTACAATGTATGTACATACAAATGTATAGGACAAACAAAACATAATGCCCAACAGCAGTTTCCTATGTACTAATTACATGTACCTATAACGCTATATGAAAAGGTGAACATGTACGATTCATAGCCACGCAGACAATGGGCCTGTTATAAGATGTTTGTGATTATCAACATTCCATGCTAAACTAACTACCGGTGTACCGAGTGCCATGGTAACAGTAGTCATCTTCAAACTCATCGTGATGGCGTCGTTGTGATGAAAACATACCCTCATAATATTCCGTCCAATGTGGACCTCGCTATCAGTACGGTGCAGTTGATCCGTGAGTCAAGTCCCGAGCCCACTTGTCACCAAGTACGCCGTCTCGGTGTGCATTGCCAAACTATAGTGCTACCACGGAATTAGATTTTATCTAAGTCTGTGGTGCTACATATATATACCGGTACATCATAATAACTTTTGATCTCGAAAACATGATCTATGCAATATATTGTACACGTGACTGCCTTGGGTGCGTGAAATGCACGTGTGTTACCGTTTGTTACACGTCAGACAAACAAACTGTGATAGTACCTCTTGTTTACAAGATAACGTTTGTTACGAGATTTTTGTCATCTGTACCGGAAGTTACCTACATACACTTAATACCATGAAGAAATCTCTTTCCATATTGGGAAGCCTCCGACGATGTTTCGTGTGTGCTCCAGTATATTTTTCATGTTTGAGTTAAATCTAAATATTGTCTGAAATTCACATTCCTGTGGATTATCTCTTCAAAAAGATTGGTTATTGTATGCTAAAAGATTCTTCTCTGGTTAGGCCTATTCAGTAAAGAAGATGAGACCATTGGTGAAATACCCTTTCAGAAATGGTGTTAATTGGTGTGGTTTGTTGGTATGTGAGTCAGTAAGATTGTACGGTGAGATGTGCGATGTAACTATTTCTGGCAAGTTGGTTAATCATTTTATTCATTATTCAAATGTATTAAAAATAATTTCATTCTTATCCGTTTCTATGTGTTAGCCGTAGTAAAATAGGAAATGAGCCAGACATACGTAGCATTACTATATTGTACCATCTGTCAACACTTTGAACGGGAAAAACGCTTTTGGGTGTCATTGTTAGATCGTTAAATTTTGTAAAAGCTACTTTCGTCAAAAACAGAATCCGTCCCCATTATAACGACGAAAATATGAAAGGGATGATGAATGTTACGTTTCATGGTATTTTGTAGAAAAATAACTTGCGAAAACGGCATGATTTTTACGGAACCCAGTCGCTGATGGTACGATAATGTATAATGCTACTATAACAATCAGCTCAGAAGGTGGTGAAAGGCTTTGCATTCAGAATTCAAATGAGATTATTGTACATTTTATTGATAGGTGCTTTGTTATGTAACACATGTATATATACATGTGTTTGTCTCTTATTTTTTTTATAAAGTCCCACAACCATGTGTCACGATGTTACTTTTGTTTTTATATATACAGTCCCCTGTGTTACTGTAATACTGTGTTGTGTATGCACTTACCAGCCGCTGTGTTACATAAAGCTTACGATGTTTGTATACATTCCGACCTCGCCACTCGGCCGCACGCCCCATTAAACAGACATGGTGATAACCATCTCCCTCTGAATGCCGCGACTGTTCCGTACACCGACTTCTAACAATGCACTAGTTTCTTCATAATAATAAATTAAATGCCCCGCGTAATTGTTTCGTAAAGTCAAGCACGTGCTACTGCACGTGGGGAAGGATGATGTGTCTTTTGATGTGTATGAATGTCGTATAGTTATTTTGAAGATGATGTAAAGATGTATGCGAGATTGCTATGGAAGTTTAAAAAGGTTGGCTGGCAATATTTTGCTTACACAAATATTTGGATAAATTGAGGTTACATGATGAGCACATGTTCCGGTTTGAACTTCATTACACATAACTTGACTGATCGCGGTTCACAAAAAAACTCAGGTATACCTGCTAACACCATGCTTTTCATAACATATGCTGCGTTTGCTTACAAGTTAGTCGCATTTGAACCTCAAAAGAATGGTGGCATTGAGCCAATTGCAAAAAGAACACCGCTGCTTACGATCCCTTACATGATGTTTTTGTCAATATGTGAGGTTATATTTACAGTATGTGTGTACATGCTTGCGCTTGAAAGAGTCAGAGGACTACAATTGTTTTGCACTACAAACTAAATTGAATAAAAATGATATCACAACGTCATCTTTCCTTTTCTTTTGAACACCTGGGGTCGAATTCATGAAACCGTTTTCATGCTCAACTTAGATTCTGTGCTTAGCCCTTTTCCTTTGCAGCGTGAAAAATAAATGAATAAAAAAACATATTTTTTCGTCAATGTTTTGGACGAATTTTAGAGAGACCAAAAGCTGAACTTTATAACCGCGTTATTTGATATATGAGCATTACAAGAAATTTTACTTGAGCTCAGATTCTATACTTGATAATAAGACGGTTTCATGAGTATGGGCCCAGGAGCCACAGTCTCGAACTTCTTGGAGTTGCGTTCACAGGGACCTGAGAATTTGTTACAGCTATGTTTGGACCCGCTAAACTAAGGTGTTCAGAGTAATTTTACATGTTTTAGGGGTTTAGATCAACTTTCGGAAAATGACACCCCAATGATCATATATTCGCTGGGGGTGTCATTTTTACCGAAGGCCGATCTAAACCCCTAAAACATATAAAATTACTCGGAACACCTTAGTTTAGGTCCAACTATAGCTGTAACAAATTATCAGGTCCCGGTGGTTACGATCACATAAGGTCTGTGCCGAGAAGTGAACGGAAACCTTTGAATGTTGATGATACTTGACAGTGATTAGATGATATCTCGGAATGTAGTATTTATTTTCCTACCAAGTTCTGGAAAGCAGCGAATTAAAATCATTGTAAAATTAATGAATTTCCAAAAATTGATAATAAATGTACTTCACTTATGACTCGCAGGTTAACACAACACTGAAAATGTCGAGTATTGTTTTGTATCACGGAGACCATACGAAATGTGTCTGTCATTATTTTTGTCAAATGTTACTAAATTAGACAATTCTACATTGAGCTGTGACATGAGGATCAGGACGAGTGAGTTGTGACACGCTCAGTAATACATGGCGATATTCCCCATTATCATTTAGTATTTATTTAGGTTTCATAACTCGACCCTCTCATACGTATATTTATTTTTACTTAAATAAATATGAAATATTCAAACATAGGTCACCGTATGGCGACAAGAATCTCTGTGGAAATGTCATGCTCCAGGACAGTGTTGGCATAGTCAGGAAGTGAGTGTGCGCATATCCTGTTTGACATTGTCACAACGCAGTTGCCTTTCCACACTCATTTGTTGATTTGATATTTCATTTGTGACTTTTTTCGCCGATCTTGAATGTTGATGAATGTATAAATAAGTACTGTGAAGTGGATGTGCCTGGTAATTTTTGAGACTTTCGAATGCACTATGGTGTTACACTCACTTACGCTAGAGAGCGCAGGGGAGCGTAACATCTTGAGTATAGAGGATGAGAGCGTAAGTGATTGGTCGGAGTCCCCGTCTAAGGCTAGGGCACCAGGAAGTGCGTCAGCGCTATATGTCGTTAGTTTCCTAAACAGAAGGCACTTATAGATCAATCGTTTTTAATAGTAATAAATACATTGTGTTTAGCTAAGAAGAGATCATTTGATATAATCAGCATCTATGTCACGAAAGTGTGATACATACGAACAGGGAGGAACATTAGACTACGGATGCTGTAAATCATTGATGTTTCTACCGTTATGATAGATTTTACCGTACGGTACTATATATCATTGACATTTCGCAAGATATTAAATGTAGTAGTAGACTATGGTTCTTAGTCTAACGTTTAAATAAATAACACCCATAGTCTACCTTTTAATAGACAATACCCCTTGTCTACCGCTAAAACAAGATTATTCCCGGTTACTGTAAATCATTGATATTGCGCGAGGTATTTATTTTAGCGGTTAAGACTACAGAAACTAGATATAGATGTATTTTAGCGTAATACTACGGGTTCAGTAACTTATTGATATCTCGCGATATATTTGTTTTGGCGGTAAAGTCTACAGGTACTATTTACAGATGTATTTTAGTGCTAGACTACGGGTTCAGTAAGTTATTAATATCCCGCGAATGTTTATTTTAGTGGTAAACAGTAAGACTTTATTTAAAGTTGAAAGATTTCGCGAAAATTTGATCAGCCACTATTACACAACTAACATGCATCCAGATAACAAAAAACGAGTATTCACACAAATTAAGCGATTTGAAAAGTACCCGTCTTGACCTCGAAAATAAGCCGCAGACACATTTCGGAATGAATATCCTGCCTATTGAGAGACAGGCTTACGTTCAAGACCTTTTTATTTTAGGTAAGTTATCATCGGCATATTCTCAAAATGTTACAAATATTTCTTTTTTCGTGCTTTTATACCAAAAATGTATCGTAGAGCTACGATTTGGACGTTATACTGATTATTATGAGAGATCATCAGGGGGATACAGATAAGATATGGGAAAATGATTATACTAAGTTTAACATAAAAGTAACGTAGTCGGACTAAAAGTAACGGTACATCGTGAAGTAGAACTCGTCTTAGCTTGGAAAGTGCTTACTTTCGAATTAATTCATAAGTGTTAGACCATGGTCATAAAATATGGCTTAAATGTTATGATGTATAAATCTACCACTGATAAAACTGTCGAATTCCAATGCCAAGTCAAATTAGGTTTTGAAAAAACCCGTAAAGGTGCTCGTTTGGAAAAAAACTCAAATTCTGCTCGTTACGTGTGTCGATATAAAATCGCCGACCGTGAATGGTTGTCTAACTAGGTATTGAAGAAAAGGCTGAGAGTCTGCACCACGCGGCGTGACTAAGAATGGTCTCAGGCAAAGATGGACATCAATGCATTGAGAGCAATGATACTGCATGTCTTGTGGTATGTATATAATTGATCTTACACCAGCTCCCTGACAGCAAACTAGGATTTCTCCCGAAATGAAAATTTCATTAACTCTGAACTGTTTATAAGTAAAATTACGTATTTGACAGCTAACAATATTGATCACATGGTTCAATTTGAATTCTCGGACAAAGGTTGTTAACGGGTCTTCGTATCATCATATTACTTCACGACAAACCCAATCTTAATGGGTTTGTTTTGATCGATATATAATTACATATTCTTTGAATAACTTCGAAATGAACTTCACAAAGGCTTACAGCTTGCTGGTAGATACAGCGAGTCGACTGTGGCTACGCTACACTGCAGACACTCGGTACGACCTAGTATACATCATCTGTCTATTGTGTGGTTTGTGGGTAACCATCGTCTAACCGCAAGGGTCAAGCACCGCCGGGATAAGTGCGAACGGCGGAAACTACCTCTGGGTCTTGTATCGTGTGGCAAATTGTACTCAACAAATTTTACAGATCATTGAAACCTCCAGGAAATGTGTAATTCAAGCAGTTAATCCCATATTGTTTGATGTGTAGTATAGATGAAAACACTGATATGACACTCTTGAAATACGTCACGTCCGCAAAAATGATTCTCGTCATTTCCGGTCAATTACCATCAGATTTTTCTATTGGTGGGAGGCTGATTAGTTTATTAGTTCTATAACAACTAAAATTTGTTTAAAAATAGACAGTTGATTTCCGTTTTCATGTATAGTGGGCGAAGTCTCTCCAATGTCTGTCAACGTCTCAAAGTCGAACGCTCAGCAAGTTTACACGACATCACACTGGGTAATACGAGTGCGCTGTCTAGGGAGGCGCACACTATCAAAGACACAGGCAGTTTCTAGTTGGGTAATTTGATGTAAACAATGTTTGAGAATTGAACATCGTTCAAATGTCACAGTACTGGATGATATTTCTAGTCACCGTTGCTCTCAGGGACATGTCACATAAATGGGTGTCACAATAAATGAATTTATGTGACATGTCCCTGTGCAATGGGATTTTCTACTGAAAACCACCAGTGGATCCTGTTTCAGAATACGTAATAATCCTGCTTCCTTATTTAGTCCCATACAATCTACGTTGTATACAGTATATCTATATATAAGTAAATTTCCATGGCAAGTTCCTCTATAAGCATTATCATAATAAATTTCGTTCAAAGGGCTATGAACACCATTGGATCAGGGTCATTTAGGAGTTTCTCTTCACGCCGTGATTAACCCGTTGTCAGTATAATGTGATCGGACGGAATGTTGTGCTGTGTGCCTTCGGCATGGTATATCAGTGATATAGCAGTTTAAAGTCGGCATCAGATCCGCGCTATCACAAGGAAGCAAACAAACCAACATACCTTGTCTCCTGCCTACACACACGCAAGCACGCATACACTACACACATGGAGGCACGTCCTTAAATGACCTTAGCTGTTAATAGGACGTTAAACAAAATTAAACCAAACCAAACCAACCCGTTAGAAGCAAACATTTTAGTGACGTTATTTTGCCCTAATGAATCTCGTTTTCACTGACGACACAGACACTTAAACATTAAAAATAAACATTATTTACGTCAATATATGTGTAATAGCTAAACATTTAGAATGTAAATTAAAGGATTGGACGGCATTTGTTCAATGTTCATGCCGGTATGAACGAAAACCGGTTACATACATATATATGGAATAGCAAATATTAATTACAAACTGGACACCAACATTTTTTATGCTTGGACGAATAAAGAAAATGAAAGGAAGAATTTTCTTCTTAACTTATGGTTACGACTTGGTATATTTCTGTGAAATGATTGAACGATTATGCACTTGTGTTACCAGGGTATACACAGCTAGGTATATGAGGATGGTGAGGAGATACCGCCGCCTTGTTCAGCCTATCATAATGATTACTGAACCGGAATGGTTAGACACATGTTAGTCACAAGATGTCACTGAACGCCCACTCAATCAGTAAGCATCGGTACTCCACCCACGTATAACTGTGATAATGGTGGTAGTTTTATGACGTACTTTTTACATCCTAGATTAGAAACTCTAGTGCATGCTGTATCAAGAAATCTAAAATTATTTCTTTTTAGTAAACTACATTACACGGAAAATGACATTGATCACGAACTCACACTTCTTTGGAAAATACTAGTTACATGTAATTAGAGTGTGTATTATAATGTAGATCCTTGTCATTAGAAATT